ACACACACACACGCATGCACCTGACGCGCTCAATGGCGTCCCCAAAGTTCTGCTTGAGGTCGTCTCCGCGGAGCTCCGGGTAGTCGCCCGTCGCAGTCACAACCTAAGCACCGCGCCATGGACGATTGCCGGGGGGGGGGAGGGATGGAAGGGAGGAGGTGAAAAGGTGGTGGATGTGCCAGTGATGTGCCGTAGACCGCAGCGTGAATCAAACTCGCATCAACGCAAACACACACATACACACACGCACACAGACACACAGAGTGCGCACCTCGATGCCCATCTTCTCGAGCGCTTGTCGTTCATCAACGTTCTGTGCGGCAGAGTACGCTTGCCGCAGGATAATGTGCACCTGCAATGACGATGACAACAACGATAACAGTAACGACAACGGGAAGCACAATATCAACACGTCATTTTTCAAACAAGGCAGGTGTTACAGTCCAATGCGCAAGAATCTGCGCAGTACACGTGAACACGCACGATGCCGGTCCATATCATCTTGCCATGAACGCACCGACTGTCCTCGACTCTCATCAACAAGCTCTTGCATATGCTTCAGCAGCTCCGATTGCTCCCGGTATGCTGTCATCAGCGTCAACACAGCCACACCCACATACACACATGCACGTGAGAACACTTGACATTAACGAAGCAACCAACACGCAGGTCAGGGCACACAGCGGGAAGCACAACTATCGTTTCCCACACACGCACAGACACACACACACGTACACAGACACACAGACACACACACACTACAAACACACACACACACCACACACACATACACACGCACACAGACACACAGACACACACACAGACAGACACACAGACAGACACACAGACACATACACACAGACACACACACACACGACAAACACACCTTCACACCAAACACATCCTTCCTGACCTGAAGGTACGCCGATGCAGAGGCGAGCAGGCGGCGTTTGGGCGACTTTCTTGTGTTTCACGGCCTGTGGTGGTTCCGTCACTGCACCGGCATCGGCTTGCACCAGGCTAGCCCCATCGCCAGTCCGATTCTGATGATGTTGTTGAGCCCCCGTACCTCCTCCAGGTACATGCACGAGCGGCGCCAGCGGCTGTGGTTCAATGGAGACAAGCTCGCTCACGTGGGATCGCCTCAAATCAAAGGGTACTATCTGTTGTTGTCCACCAGCAGCAGCCGGGACTTGTAGATTGCCACCACTACTCCTGCTGCCGTCACCCACAGCACCTTGCGCACTCGGCACCACGCTGAGCGGGTTCAGCGCATGCTGCTGCCTGCCAATCAGGTAGCCGGCCAAGAACACCAGGCTCAGGAATGCAACACTCAGCACTGCCTGAAACACAGACACGCCCAGCCCTCCGACCCTGGCCATGCTTGCCGGTGCTTGTGCTTATGGTTGTGAATATGGCCGTGATTTGATGTGAGGGAACAAACAAGCACCCAGCGCCGCTGCTGGTTAACGTTGGTGCGTTGCTGCGGTTGGTGGGTCTGGCAGTTGTCAGCGTTGTCAGCCGTGTCCTATAAGTAACACATAGGACATGAAGCTAGTCCATTCAACACACTGCACTGCCCGCTCGCTCGCTCGTGTTGCTTCTACTGCACCACACACGCAGCACACCGCGCAGCACACCACAACATGGGGGACTGGGGTTATGAGTACGATTCGGAGGATAGCGAGGAGTATGGATCGTTTCTGGCGGAGCCCGTTCCCGTGGCATACGCATCGGACGACTTTGACGGCCCGCCCAGCGACATTCCCGTCTTCCAATATCCCAATTCGCAAAACACTCAGGAAGAGGAGGACAAATTCAACGGTGCACACGACTCCGGTCCGTACCATGACCACTTGTTGCCTCGCAAGATGTTTGTGCGCCAAAGCCACAAGCAGCTGTGGAAGGGGTTTGGCATTCCAGTCCCAAGCAAGCTGAACATTCTTCAGTCAGTGCGTTGCCTGGAATATGGTGTCATCTCCGACGTATGTAAACCCCAGCATGCGTCACACTCAAGTCCAAACAGTTCACATCGACACCGTGCGTGTTCGCCGCCCCGCTGCCTTGGCAAAGTGTCTTACGTGCTCATCTCATCTCATTTCCCGTTGCTTTCATGATCTCACATGGACGTCGCGCATCCCTTGTACTGCGTCAATGTGAACTGGCAGTGGAAGAGCGAGCGTGGTTTTGGTTTCATCAAAAGCGGCCGGGTGAGCACTCGCACAAGGCGCCAACACCTGTTCGTCCGCTATGCTTCCATCAGCATCACCAGCACTACCATCACCACCATCATACACATACGTCATCGTTGACATTCCTTACTCGCCTTGCGTGTTTGTTTGCAGTTTCCTGGCCAATCCCTGTTCTTTCACGTCTCGAGCTTCAACTTCCATGTTGGGCGTGATGACAGAAGTCTGCTTCACATGCCCGTCGAGTTCGAAATTGTGGATCGTGGGCGCAGAGGCATCGGCGCCGTCAACATTGACATTGTCCACAGATCAGAACTTGCGGCACACGACAAATCTTACATGCCGTTCAGATGCAGCGGTCGCCGTGGCCACACCTTCAAGGGACTCTGCGTCCAATTTGTGCACGGTCCTTTCTGCCAGTAAGCTTTGCCGTGTATGCGCAGGATCCTGTGTATGTGTGTGTGTTTATGTGCGTGCGCGCGCGTGTATGTGTGTGTGTGTTTATGTGCGTGCGCGCGCGTGTATGTGTGTGTGTTTATGTGCGCGCGCGCGTGTGCGTGTGTGTGTATTTATGTGTGTGCGCGCGTGTGTGTGCGCGTGTGTATGTGTGTGCGTGTGTGTGTATGTGTGTGTGTTAGTTGTGCTTGTTGCCTTGTTGCCTTGTTGCCTTGTTGCCTTGTTGCCTTGTTGCCTTCTTTACTTCTTTGCAACCCAAGGCCGCCCTGACCAGCATCGTGCAACTCCTGCGCCCCTCCATACACTGTTGGAAAGGATTGCGCCCACCCTCCCACGGCTCAAACATGGCACTCCTGTGATAGTCACAGAAATAGCCGTGTGTCTGACCAATTACGACGACATTATCATCACCGAGGTGCTTCACCGCCCTGCGTTTGCAAAACATGCCAATGCCATCTTTCCCTCTGGACGCTTGAGTTATGATTTGCTGCTGTGCTTTCAGTTTGCGCAATACTACCATTCCTTCACCATCACCATCGTCATCATCACCACCACCACTACCACCACCATCGTTATCGTCATCGTCGTCACCACCATCATCGTCATCATTTTTGCCATCAGATGTACCATGATCCGCGGCCATGGAAGGAGGCGCCAGAATGGCACCTCTCCGTGCACGACTGCTTTGACGACTGCGACGACTATGGTCATGTCATTGAAGACCCTGTGGTTGATGACGAGGATGACTACTATGATGATGATGATGATGGTGATGATTATGACGGTGAAGATGAAACTGCGAGTTGCAATGACCTTGATGGCGATGGCGGCGATGGCTATGATGATGACGATTATGATGATGATGATGATGATGAGCAACAGCCACAGCAGCAACAGCAGCAACAGAAACAGCAACGTCAGCAGCCACAGCAGCCACAACGTCAGCAGCAGCAACAGCAGCCACAACGTCAGCAGCAGCCACAGCAGCCACAAGAGCAACAGCAGCAACAGCAGCAGCAAGCAATGTCGCCCAAGCCTGTTCGATTCACAGTGCAATCTGAGCAGGCAAGTGGCGTTACCAACCCTCTCTTGTGTCATAACTGCCGCCTTAACGTTGATGTTTGACGTGCTCGCGTCGCGCACACCAACTTAATGAAGCGCCACACCTGATGTCCACACACACACACACACACACACACACACACACACACACACATACACACATGTACGTGCTTTAACATGGCTTGCTCTTTGCTGCTGCGCAGGTGCACGGCATCGTCGTTGCAATCCGCCCGCACCTTGCGCTTGTGTTCATCCCTGATGGGCGCGGTGTGTCTGTGCCGCTGCACAAGATCAAGCACCCGATCGCTGTTGGCGACGCACTCTCCTTCGCCCTCACCAGCACCACAGACGCCGACCCGGTACGCGGCTGCTGCGCACATGCGTTTTCCTCAGCCTGCAGGGGAGAGGGGAGTTGGGATGCTGCTGACCATTGAGAGGGAGGAGCAATTCGTGGCGATGGAAGCTGCCGGTGTTGTTGTTGTTTAAGTTGTTGTTGTTGTTTAAGTTGTTGTTGTTGTTGTTTAAGTTGTTGTTGTTGTTGTTTAAGTTGTTGTTGTTGTTGTTTAAGTTGTTGTTGTTGTTGTTTAAGTTGTTGTTGTTGTTTAAGTTGTTGTTGTTGTTGTTGTTGTTGTTGTTGTTGTTGTTGTTGTTTAAGTTGTTGTTGTTGTTGTTGTTGAAGTTGAAGTTGTTGTTGTTGTTTAAGTTGTTGCTGTTGTTGTTGTTGTTGTTGTTGTTGAAGTTGTTGTTGTTGTTTAAGTTGTTGTTGTTTAAGTTGTTGTTGTTGTTGTTGTTGTTGTTGTTGTTGCATCTTCGCTTCCATCTGGAGCGTGTATTGATATCGGCGTGCGCCCCGACCCCATCGCTAACACCATTCGCCCCCTGCCATTCCTCGTCCGCTGTGGCCACGATTCCATGTTTGCTCGCCATCCTCCCACCCCACCCGCTCAACTGCACCACAGCATGCGCTGTTTGTTGTGCCGGCCCCGCAATTCGAGATGGCAGCAGCGCATGCTGGCGAGTGCGTTGGACGTGTCATGTCGGAACCAAAGGTCAGCGCCCCTCACCAAATCGCCCTCGCATGCCCGCCACGCCTCACCACCATCTGATGATCACCACCTCGTGTCTGCTGCTGCCTTCGCGCAACCACACACACGCATGCACACCCACGCACACACACCTTCACGCTTTCACACCCTCATATGCTTTCAAATGCTTCGCACGGCTTACTCACACAGGGCTACGAGCCTGGGCGTATTGTTGTGGAGCGAGTCATCCCAGATGCCAGCAGCAGCCAGACGACACACCACCCCACATCGGTCAGCACGCAGCACGCGGCACGCTTTGCTTATCGTGTCTGGTTGGGTGGGCACAAGCTCTGGGGGTTGAATGCGACGAAGCATTGCCGCTTTGCCTGTACTCGGCTTGCTTTTTTTCTTGCTCGACTCTGTCAATTCGTCTCCTTTCGCCACACCAACTCATGAACCACCACCATCACCACCACCACCACCACTACCACCATCACCCGCTGTCAGGGCCCGGCTGTTGGCGATCAGGTGGACTACTTCGACCACATTCTCGACAACACGACGCTTCGTGTCGGCGACACGGTACTGGTGCTGCGGCAGTGGTTGCATATGATTCGACTCCACTTGCATTGGTCATTGTCCCATCCACGGTTATTCACTGGCTCCCTGCGTCCCTCCCACCCTCATGCAGTCACACACACACACACACACATACACACACACACACACAAATACACACACAAATACACACAAATACACACACACATACACACACATACACACACACACAAATACACACACAAATGCACACACAAATGCACACAAATACACACACTCACACAAACACACTCCTCCCACCTCGCTCATTCATACATTCTCACACACTCACATCCACTGATTCACACTCCCCTCACCACGTCACGACTGCATCATCCATTCTCTCCCCTCCCACCCCACCAGGTTCGCGTCAATGTGAGCAGCTACGCTGTGCGACCTGACCGTTGCTTCTGCACAACTGCGACGATCTTGACGCGAAGCGCCCGCTCATACGTACGCTGCGCCATGTGTGCCGTGCTTTGCTAGCGTCACTGAACTAGCTCCTGCTTTCGTTGCCCCGTGCGCCGACAACACAAGGCACAGCAAGTACATGCAAACACTCACACGCACACACTCACACTCACACGCACGCACGCACAACGCCCTCTACCGCCGCCTCCTCCTCCTCCTTGACATACATTTGCACTGTCGCTGTAGGGGTGGGTGAAGCGGCTGATGCCTGGCTCCGGGTTTGGATTCATCACCTCATTCCCCAAACTGGACGACATCTTCATGCCCTTCTCGTACGTCACCGTTGACATGACTGCATGTGTATGTGTGCGTGTGTGTACCTGTGCACATGCTTGTGTGTATGCGCATGTGATGTGAATGCGTTACGTTTTATATGAGTGTGCGATCTTGCTCACGCAACTCCACCCCCACCTCGACGCCCTCTCCTGGATCCTCTTTGTCAAACAGAAACGTCGTTGGCCACTGCGAGCTGGACGTGAACATGTGGGTGGAGTTTGAGATCACGCCGTCACCGCGTGGGCCGGTTGCTGCGCGTGTGTGCCAGGCCGACCCCGCTGTCATCAATGCCATGCTCGTCAAGGATCCAGATGCACTCGAGGGCGTCGTCGACTCTGCGCCGACACGCGCGCAGATGGGCAGGTTGGTGTACGTGTGTGCATGTGTGATCATGTGTGTGTGTGCATGTGCGCGCATTATGTACGTGTACGTGTGTGCATGTGTGATCATGTGTGCAAGTGTGTTTGTGTGTGTTCATGTGCGTGTGTGTTTGTTTGCTATGCATCGTGGCGTTGGGTGCAGTCATGTAACGTCCTTTTGTTTCTTCCTCTGTCGCCTGTAGTCGGTGCGTTCGTGACACATCAGCCATACAGCTGTGTTTCCCCTGCTTATCATTCTCATTCTCACATGAGTACTGCACCCGCGTACGTCTGACATGACCACGTGCACCTCATTTCCGATGTGTCACGGACAACAGGATCCTGTATCGGCCGCCTCGTCCGGACAATCGCCCCGCTGTTCCACGCGTGGAGATGATTGACACAACGCCGGCGTTTGGCGAAGTAGATCAGAGCGGTGCGCGCATTGCTTGTGTTGGCGTGTTGTGCTGCCGCGCTGTGCCGTGCTTTATTTGGGTGTTTGTGCTGTCGCACGTGTGCTTGCATGTATTAACAGGCTGCAGTTTCGGCGCGCTGTGCGTGTTGTGCTTGTCCCATCAAATATTGACGCCCCTCGACCTCCTTGCTCTTCCTGCATCGATCACCATCCGCAGACCTGAGGGTTGCGCTGTGTGCGCTGAACAGCCTGGCGCATCCACAGCAGCCGCCGAAGAAAGGCGACCATGTCCGCTTCAGACTCGTCCAGGGATCCGCCTACGCCGTCGACGTCACAAAGGTCTGCTGCTGCTGCTGCTGCTGCTGTTGTTTAAGTTGTTGTTGTCCTTGTCATCGTCGTCGTCACCATACCGAGCTCACTGCAACCTGCTGCTGTGTCGGTGTCAGATTTGTGGACCAAAGTTGACGACAAGCACGATTCAGGGCACAATCACGAAACGGTTTGCACGCTACGCCAGCGTCCACTTCAAATCCGTACGTCTCCAGTGTGTCTGCAGCGCGCATCGTGTAGTGTGTGTGTGTGTGTGTGTGAAGTTGTCGTTGTTGGGTGTAGTACTTTGCACAACATGCAAGCAACTGCTCACCCGTTGACACATACACACACACGCACGCACGCACGCACGCACACACACATCCACACACACACACACACACACACACACACACACACACACACACACACACACACACACACGACACACACACACACACACACACACACACACACACACACACACACACACACACACACACACACACACGCACGCACACACACACACACACACACACACACGCACACACACACACACACCAGCCGCTGCATGATGTTGTGCTGGAGAGGATGTTCATGGCGCAGCAGTACCGGGGCGACTACGACAGGGTTGCTGTTGGCGACGGCGTGCGGGTGGAGGTCGACATCGTACGGGAGGACACAAGCGCAACCACCGACGACGACGACGACGACGATGATGGTGGTGACGACGCTGAAGGGAAGAGGGTTGGTGCGGAGGGAAGGGAAGCAGATGTGCAGGGTGGCGATGCTGATGGTAGCGATCATGAAGGGGCGGGTGTGTGCGTGCGTGTGGTTGCGGTGATGCCACGGGCTCGTGTCGGCCATTGATTGGCGATTCGTAAGCACACTGGTGATGATGATGGTGGTGGTGGTGGTGGTGGTGGTGGTGGTGATGATGAACTGGTGCGCTGATGCAGAATGCACGAATGACACTGTGGTGTGCTGGTGTGTTGTTTTAAGTTATTGTGTGATATTTGGTTGATTTGATCTGGTGGTGGCACTGCCAAGCAATCGAAAACAGACTTAAACCCCTAGCTGCGGTCACATGCGATGTGGCATGCGCTCGAGGGAGCAAGCAAACAACACAAGAAGCAAGGTGAGATGGGAAAGCCTGACAAACCAGCACGCGCACACACATCGAAGCAGCTAAGCACATCACCACACCCGGTTTGAAATGTGTGTCACAATTCTCAACCGCACAACACGCCACTCCCCCCCCCCTTTTTTTTTTTTGCGTTTTGCTGAGTTGTTGTCCTCCTTGCTCGTGATTCTCTTTGTTGTTTTGTTGGAGGAAGCACACACCCCCTTGCTTGCTTGTTGTGTTGTCTCTTGTGTCCTGGTGTTGTTTCAGGTCATTCGAGGTTCGATCGACTTCCTCTCCCCACCGTCCCCCCTTCCCCTCTCTACAGCCACGCTCACGCCACTGCTGTCAGCCAACCAACCAACCAACAACACAGGCCTCTTGTTGCACTCACGATGGACAAGGTTGATGACACAGTGACCTTGTCCGGAAGCGGCAGCGGCGGCGGCGGTGGTGATGGTGATCCACCACCCGCGCAGGACACCACGAACACCACGCATGCCTCAAACGCGGACAAGGACAACGGACAGGCCATGGACAGCCCGCTGACGCCAGCAGACACACCACTGCCACCTCTCCCACCCACGCCTGCGAAGAACAGCACCACCGACGATGCGACGGCCAGTGCCAGCGATGACACAAGTGCGCAGGACTCTGAAGATCAATCAGATCGCGCCCACGAGGACAAACAACCAGCCGATGAAGAAGCCGAAGAAGAAGAAGCCGAAGCCGAAGAAGAAGAAGAAGCCGAAGCCGAAGAAGAAGCTGAAGAAGACTGTGAGCCGCTCACGATGCCTGCACCTGAAGAAGACAATGCGCAGCAGGCGAGCACTGAGCAGCCGCGGGTCCTGGAGGAGGAGCTGGAGTATGATGACGGTCCGAAGGAAGCCTTCAACGACGCCGCAGCAGCCACGGAGAACGGCGACACATGCACGCAGGAGAGTGATGATGCGTGCAACAGTGCGGACGCCGACTGCAAGCAAGGTGCCCAGCCCCAAGCCGACGACGCAGATGAGAGCGCGAGCGAGACAGAGGCAGAGGTGACGCAGTTCTCTCCCAAAGAGTCGGGATCTGCCGTAGTCATGCAAGTGAGCACGGGCGACGCAGGCAACGAGCAGACGGCCGATGTTGAATGCTCTGTTGATGACAACACCGCTTCCACGGCAGATGACACGACGCCAGCAACACCAACAACACCGGCGGTGACCGAGGGCGGCAATGAAGACATGGACGCCGTCGCGCTGCAGTCGGAGCGGACGTTTGTGTCTTGCCTCAGCTACCCTGGCGCAACCGAGCTGATTCGTGACCAAATGGAGGTGTGTGTGTGTGTGCATATGTGTGAACGTGCATGTGTGTGTGTGTGTGTGTGTGTACGTGCATGTGTGTGCGCCTGCGTGTGTGTGCGTGCGTGCGTGTTTGGGTGTGTGTGTGTGTGTGTGTGTGTGTGTGTGTGTGTGTGTGTGTGTGTGTGTGTGTGTGTGTGTGATACAAACATGTGCATGCCACACAAACACGGTTTGATCGCTTCTTCCTCCCCACCCTTCTCTATGTCTCTCTTGCTGACACACACACACACACCGCATATGCAGGAGGACATTTCGCTGTTGTTCCAACTGGAACGCTACATCACCGCGCGTGTGGAAATGGATCGTGCCCACGCCATGCAGGTCAAGGAGCAGGCCGAAGAAACAAAGGTGCGACAAAACAGATGACACGTGCTGTGGCGTGTGAGCCTCAGCTTTGCAACGTCAGGGAATGTGATGTTCCCTGTCAGACGTGTTGATGATCGCTTTGACTTCTCCTCTCCACCATGACACAGCACTGCCAATGCACATGAAGCTTTTTCCTTGCATGTCACCTTTCACCATTGGTCTCACGTTGACCCCACGGTTCGGGCTCGAATCCAATGCCAATAAACATCTCTGCCCCCCTCCCATCACTACCACCTCCACAGAGCTTTCTTGACGCCTTAAAGTATCAGAATGGGCCCGTCTTCCAGGTTTGTTGATGTGTGTGTGTGTGTGTGTGCGTGTGTGTTTGTGATAGATTGGTTTATCCACTGTGTTCAAAGGTTCCTGTGCCATGCACGCATACGATACTGATAGCAGCTCAACCTCAATTGCCGTGTCACCATACCACCATATCAGGGTTTCCGCAAAGTGCTACTGGGGCACATTTTGGCGAGCCAGCACGTTGTTGAGCAGACAAAGGCCGCCAAGCTGGAGGTCATTAAGGTTCGGTCGTGCTGTGCAATACAAATGGATACAACGCACCAAAACTAATGGTGTCATACATGTATGCAAATGCACAGACACACACACAGACACACACAGACACACACACACACAGACACACACACACACAGACACACACAGACACACACACACACAGGCACACACACAAGCATGGTCGTTCATTCAACTTCCACGCAAAAGTTTTGACGCACTCACACGTATGCACATGCACGTGCACGTCATCCACACTGGCTGCAGAGTGTACAAGATGTAAAGGCGGCGAAGCAGACTGTTCGCGATGTGTTTGACAGCATCAACAACCCCATCAACAGCGAGTATTCGGTACGTACACGTGCCCACCCAACTTGTTTGTTGCCAAGTGCGAAGTCTTTCATGGACTGTGGGTGTCTGCTTTCGTGGTCGTGTTGATCTTCATCGTCATGTTCTTGTTCACTGCATCTCTCACGCACACACATTCTCTCACACACTCACGCACACTCACGCACACTCACACTCACACTCACACGCACTCTCTCCCCCCTCTCTCTCTGCGCGCTTTTGTTTGTGACGACCACAGCGTCACGTGGACACCATCACGGAGTTGAAGGCGCAGCTGCGCGCCCAGTGTAAGGCGTTCTCGGACAAGCACAAGAAACTCAAGGGCGTTTCGCCGGGAAAGAAGGTGAGGCAGCACCACATGCGGAGCCAGCACTGTTGTAGTCGTCGCGTGCGCGGGCGCATGCGTGTGTGTGTGTGTGTGTGTTTGCACGTGTGCTCGCGCGCGCGTGTGTGGATCACCATGCCAACGAGTACAGTTGCGCTGGTGTGTGTGTGTGTGTGTGTGTGTGTGTCTGTTTGCGTATGCTGTGCAGGGGCGGACGTACCGTGCTTCCCCCACACACTGGCTGCTGTGGTTTGCATCTCACACCCACGTGCACATGTTGCGCCGCAGAACTACAACAAACTCCGCGAGCAGCTGAAGGAAGCAACCATCGCCATGCACGTGAGTGGATGGACGCGCCTGTGAGCTGCTGTCTGTGTAATTGCTTACTCCCGCTGCGCTCACCACATACGGACCCACTCATACATACGGGATTGCGTGTGTGTGTGTGTGTGTGTGTCTCTCTCTCTCTCTTTCACTGTCTCTCACTCACTCATTCACCCTCACTCACTCACACACACGCTCTCTCTCTCTCTCTCTCTCTCTCTCTCTCTCTCTCTCTCTCTCTCTCTCTCTCTCTCTCTCTCTCTCTCTCTCTCTCTCTCTCTCTCTCTCTCTCTCTCTCTCTCTCTCTCTCTCTCCTGTGCACTGCACCAGACGACGTTCTGCAAACTGTATGTGAGCGCCATGGATGCCAAGGAGCACGTTGACACCTACTTCCAGGTGCGCTTTTGCTTGCTTGTGGCGTGTAAGTAAGTGTGTGAATGCGAGACTGTGCATGACGACTGCACTAAGCACTGACTCTACGTACGCTCGCAATTGTGCACATACAACGCTGGCAAACCCTCATCCCCCGGCCACCGCATTGCTGCTGCTGTTGCCGCATCACTACCTGCACGACTGCTTGGCAGGAGGAGCTGCCGACGCTGCTGGAAGGAATTGAGGAACAGAACCGGTTTCTCGTCGGCGACGTCAAGCGCTGTCTTCGGGAGATGCACGAGCGCTTTGATTACGCCGACAAGGAAATGCAGGGCATCTCCGCACAGAACTTGTGAGCGCAACTTCGCATTGGGTTGCGTGTGTGTGTGTGTGTGTGTGTGTGTGTGTGTGTGTGTGTGTGTAAACTTGTGTGTGTGTAAACTTGTGTGTGTGTAAACTTGTGTGTGTAAACTTGTGTGTGTAAACTTGTGTGTGTGTAACCTCACACACGTGCCGCCTTTAACTCATCAATACTCCCCTTCCCCCTTTCGCCTCTTCCCTTCCCCCCACATACATGACCGCGCGTCAGGCGGTTCATTTCGGCCATCGACCCCTCGCGCGAGTACCAGCAGCTGATGGCGTCGTTCGATGCGCCGAATGACAACCCAGAGTGCAAACTGGACGACGAAACAAACCTCAAGGACACAGAGGACCTCTTGATCACCACAAACTCAGGTGCGTGTGTGTGTGTGTTTGTGAGCTTGGATGAGTTGGGTGTGTGCTCAGAGGTCGACTGCTGTGGGTGTCGTCTGCCTCTCGATGCTGGTTTTTTTTTGTCTGTTTGTTCTTCGCCTTTCACGTGCAAGACCCCTGATCTCACATCATCTGTCTACACTTGTCATGCGGCTTCTCCGCTGTCCCCAGGCATCACGGACCCAAAGCGCCTGCTCTTCGCCGACACGACAAAGGACTGCCTTGAGGTAGCCCCGCCACCTCGCAACACACACGAGCGCACACATGCACACACACACACACACAAGTTCATCTGCGTTTGACACGAAAGACACACCCAGTTTGTCTCCTTCCCCCCCCCCCCTACACACACACCACGGATGCGCAGTGTGTCGTGTGATTCACCACCACACCCGCTTGCATCTGCATGTGTATGTGTTCGTTTGCAACAGCAAATCTGCACGGAGGAGCGCAAGTTTGCTGAGGACCGCAGCCAGCACCTCGCAACCAAGGAGACGCAGGTGTGTGTGTGTGTGTGTACATGTGAATGTGAATGTGTGTGTGTACATGTGAATGTGAATGTGAATGTGTGTGTGACTGCATCATTGCCTACACACGTGCCTCCTCGCCTCACTGCTTTGCATCATCCACATGTGCGTGACTGCTGCAGCTGCACGAGATGGAGGACAGTGCGGTCTGGTTGGACAATGCGCCACCGGCCACCGACCGCGATGCCTTCAACCTCCGCCGCAGCCTGGTCCGTGGTAGCAGCATAGACACAGTGTTGATGCGTGTGTGTGTGTGTGTGTGCTGTCACGAAGAAGAAGACAAGATGAAGACCCCGTGTGTCATCCATCGCACTTCTGCGTCCGTGTGAGGTTTTCATTTCTCCGTTATCACACCATATCGGCGCTTCTGCCACGCTCACTTCCCCGTTGTCCTTCTTCTTCTTGTGTGTGTGTGTGTTTGTATGTGTGCAGTTAACGAACGTGCAGAACATTCACTGCAAGCGCGTCGAAGTGGCCAGCCTCCGCTCAAAGCAACGTGCGTGGTCATGTGACGCTAAAACGGGCATTGCTGCTGCATGTTCTTGTGACTTCGGGTGAAGCCATGCGTGGAGTTCATCAGTGCGCGCGCGCGTGTATGTGTGTGTGTGTGTGTGTGTACCTGTAGCCGCTCACCCATGTCTGCCTGCCTGCTGGCTTGCCTTGGCCCGCGCGTGCATCACCGTCATCGTCATCACAGGCCGACACAAGACTGTGGCAGACCTTGTTGGAGGGTTTCTCGATGAGCAAGGTACACCGACCGTGTGACTTGGACTCATTTCTGCTTCTCGTTGCCCGCGTTGCTGTTGACTGCTTGTCTCTGAACCCAACATCTCCAAACTAATCCCAACACACCTCTCAATCATGCATTCACACACACACACATGCATGCATGCATACATGCACACATGCACAGGTACAGCCGAGCCTGCAGCGTGGTCGGATCTGATTGGCGTCGAAGCGCGTAAGTTGCAGATGGGTGCTTGTTGCAGTTTGTACAATAGCATGCACAAACATAAACCCAAACACACACACACACATGCGCGTCCCCTTGTCTGCAAGCACGAATTGTGCGACCAATTGGTGACCTCATTTGTTCGTCTCGCACGTGCATGTCTACCAGCTGCTGATTCCCCGACGAAGAAGCGATCGCAGTCTCTCCTCCAGAAACTCAACGTGAGCAGTGTGTATGTATATGTATGTGTGTGTGTGTGGATGCGCCTGTGCTTGGTCCTCTGCGCTGCACGTTGAGTGGCCATGTGGTCTCACATTGCTTCTCGCGCTCACATGCCATCTTCACCGCCCACCTTTGTATTCCAACGCCTTTCCCCTGAATTTTGCCTGCCCGCCTGCAGCCGTTCAGTAAGTTTGCACTGTGCACTTGCTTTTTATGTTTGTTGCTGTGCGTACATATATGTACGGCTGACTTCGCAGTCACACCCACCCTCCACGAACGCTCCCATGCACTCACATACATAATCACACACACACACACACACACACACACACACTGCCCCTGCGCAACCCTGCGTGTCACAGGCCGCGGCAGTTCGAGGACGTCTGTCGCATCAGCAGAGAGCGATCACCGTGGCAGCACGTCCAGTTCCAGTCATCACGAGACCACCACCACCGCACCGCTCAAGGAAGAGCCAGCAGCGGAGAATGAAGTGGGTGACGCCAGTGGTAGCGATGGTCACAGTGGCCAAGATAAGGCTGCAGCTGCACAGGCATCGACCACCACAGCGACGGCAGCCGAGGACAACAGTCACGTGCAGCACAGCACCGCTGCCACAACAACTGGGGAGACCACGCAACATGGGGGCACTGAGGACGCCGCTGGTGATGATGACGGTGATGGTGGACACATGAACATGCAGGACGAGTACGGCGACACCGAAGTCGAAGGCGGCGATGTCTCACACGGAGATGCAGCCGCTACTGCCACAACCGAGCAACTGCGTGACAAGAACAAGCCTGCACCCGCAACGGGCGAGGAGCATACATCTGGGAAGAGCGGAGATGCCGATGCTGATGTTGCTGATGATGTGTACACGGATGGGCAGGCCGCCAACGATGTCCAGCATGACCATGCCGTGGAGGGGGCAGCACCAGTTGGAGAAACAGCACCGCAGCAGGCGCCCGCTGGCAGCAGCAACAGCGGCAATGATGAGCAGGACGAAACTGCCGGGTACGAGCTGCAGTCAGAGTTTGAGAGTGTTCTCGACAAAGTGGACGAGGAGCAGCACGGCAAACCGTTGGCCGACCGCCCGCTGCCGCCCGTCCCGCCACCAGCGGATGCACCCAAGCCAAGCGCCCAGAGCTTCTACCTGAAACCGCAGGAGCGGACGGAGAGTGACGGCCCGGAGGACGGACCGGCGCCACCGGTGCCACCGCGCGGCTCCAAGCCTGCACGCCCTACTGAGTGCGTTGCTTTACTTGCGCGCGCGCGCGCGCGCGTGTGTGTGTGTGTGTGTGTGTGTGTGTGTGTGTGGGTGTGGGTGTGGGTGTGGGTGTGGGTGTGGGTGTGTGTGTGTGTCACATATTTCTCCAATCTTGCAATCTGCTGCTCTATTACTGACGCGTTCATGTGTGTATGTGTGTGTGTGTAATCGTGCTGCGCGTGTTCAGGTCTGCGGTCAACATGCCACTGCCCAACACCCCGCGCCCACCGGCACCATCACCTCCCGCGCCGCCCCCGTAAGCGATTGCTCCCATGGCCCGTGGTATCCGGTGCACGTGTGTGTTTGTGTGTATGTGTGTATTTTGTAAATGCGTGTATGTGTGTGTGTGAATGCCCATCCGTTTCAACATCCCATTTCAGGCTGATCACCTGTGATGCCTGCTGATTGCGTGCGTATTCTGTGGATGTGTGGCGCATGTGACAGGAGCGTGTACACGCGCCGCTATCTCGTGTCCCGCCCTCGCGAGCCCTTTGATCCGCTCAGCTCAACCATCCCATTCCCAATCGATGTCGCGGTGGGTTTCGCACGCATTCCTGCGCCCCTGCATATGTGTGTGAGAGAGTGTGAGTGAGAGAATGTGAGTGTGTGCGAGTGCCGATGTGTGTGTGTGTGTGTGTGTGTGTTGAATACGTCGTGGATGAAACAATGGCCATTTCCCAACATACCAGCCACACTCACACGCTCACACTCACACTCACACGCTCGCACGACGTCACCATGTCACGGGTGCAGGTTGCGCTTGAGGACCAGCCGTGGTTCTTTGGCGATATTGCGCGGCAGGGCGCGGAGCAGCTGCTGGAGCAGCCAGGCGACTTCCTCGTTCGCTTCAGCACGTGAGTTGCCACCGTCAGTCGCCGTTTTCTGCACATGTTTGTTGTGACATAAACCATGGTGTCTCATCCATGCACCTCCCCCCCCCCCCCACCTGCGTACAAACATGTACAATCGATACACATCACCACCACCACCACGACTACAGGAACAAGAACCGCAACATTGTGACAGTGGCAGACCAGTTCATGCAGGCGCGCCATTACGTGATTGAGGAAGGGGAGGGGCTCTGCTGGATTCAGCAGCTGTCATTCCCGTCAACCCCTGCACTCGTCGCACACCACGTGCACACGCGTGCGCCCATCACACCGGTACGATGTTGTCGCAGACGTGCACACGTGCTCATAGTGGTCGAGTGTGCCTGCTGCGCGCGTGATTCAATACGTTTGAGCTTGTGTGTGTATGTGTGTGTGTATTTGTGTGTATGTGTGTGTTTGTGCGTGTGTGTTTGTGCGTGTGCGTGTGTGTGTTTGTGCGTGTATGTGTGTGTGTGCGGCCGTGTGTGTGTGTGTGTGTGTGTGTGTGTGTGTGTGTGTGTGTGTGTGTGTGTGTGTGTGTGTGTGTGTGCTCACGGTCTTGTACATGTATTCATGTCCCTTCGCGTGCTTCCATTTACAGACGGGCGCCCAAGCGAAGTTTCCTGTGTTCCGCATGGAGATGGGAGAAGTCAAGGTCTGGTACAACTCAGAGCTTCAGCAGATCAGAGACCTTGGCTCAGGTATGGCGTGCGTCCATGTGTGCATGCATGCGTACGCGTGCACGTGGTGTGTGAAAATGGTGCACTTGGTGTGCGATGAAGTGTTTGCTGTCATGTACTCCTTGCAACTTGTCATCTCTCCATCGCTCACCAAATTCTGTTGCTGGTACTTCTGATGATGCTCTTCAGGCCATTTTGGCGCTGTCAAGTTGATGAAAGATACCCGCACGAGCGAGCAGTACGCAGTCAAGGTGTGTGTGTGTGTGTGTGTGCGTGTGTGCATGTGTGCATGTGTGTGTGTGTGTGCGAATGAGCGCTCGTTTGTCGTATTCCCAGCTGCTCACGCCACGTGTTTCCTTGTGTTTTATAGACGTGCACGAACGACACGATCCTGGACACCAAGGAGTTTATGCGAGAGGCAATCACGTTCTCGCATCTCGCGCACAAGAACATTGCACGCATGTTTGGCGTCACCAACGACACCCCAGTACGTTACAGACACACACGTGCTTGCAAGCAAGGCCACATGCAACAGTCACGTGACACCACAGCACACACAACACCAAGCATGATACACCATCACAACCATTGCACTCATCTTCACGTCTTGTCTGCACACGTGTGTGTGTGTGTGTGCCAGCTGCGCATTGTGATGGAGCTGTGCGAAAATGGCGCTCTGCTCAATTACCTCCGGGATAAAGGACCACACGAACCACGGCAGCAGCTCTGGTGGTGCCAACAGGTGTGCGAGGGCATGATCTACTTGAGCGAGCAGAACTGCATCCACCGCGACCTTGCTGCCCGCAACACGCTCCTCGCAAACGATCTCACGGCAAAGGTTGGCGCTCGTGGGATGTGCACATCTATGTGTGTGTGCGTGTGTGCGAGCGCCTTTTCTTGACTTCATGCCATGTTATGCGCCCCTGTAGCCATGGTGGAACTCACAGTGGGTCGCTCGCTCTGCAATGACCACCAGATTTCCGACTTTGGGCTTAGCCGCTTGGTGTCTGGAGATGAAGGCCTCTATCAAGTCAGATTCAGTACGTACTCGCACACGCACACAGTTGTACGCACAGTTACACACACACACGCACGCACACACACACGCGCACAGACACACGCACGCACACACGCACACACTTGCATCGCAATTACCGCTCGCCCACACATCCCATTTCAATGAGGCACGAGTCACTTACCTCGGCGCGTCTTCTATTCCTCTTCGCACCCGCTCACCACCACGTTCGTTTTCGTCGATTCCATCATCATCATCATCATCATCATCATCATCATCATCATCAACAGCCAAGGCGATGCCGATTCGCTGGACAGCGCCAGAAGCACTCTTCTACAGCACATTCAGCCTCAAGAGTGATGTCTGGTGCGTACATGTAGACACACACGTATACTCACACTCACACTCTCACACACATGCACATGTACGTGCATACAAATGGGAGTGCTAGTCGGCTATCATCACGCTCACACGCTGTCTGTCTGTGCGGCTCAGTTTGAAGTGCCTCTCATGCGTACTGTGCATTGTGCACATTGCAATCTCACGTGTGCCTGTGCTGTCACCGTCTTCGCAGGTCATTTGGTGTGCTGATGTATGAGGTGTTCTCGGGCGGTAAGATTCCATACGCCGGGTACGCCACCAACGAGGAAGTGAAACAATTCGTAAGTCGTGCAAGGGCAGTAAGCATCCTTCCAATCCGCACACACACACACATACATGCACGCACACATGCACGCACACATGCACGCACACATATGCTCACACACACACACACACATATGCTCACCATGGTGGCGTATGCACGTCCATCGTCGTTGTCGCTGATGCAAATAGGTCGACCGAGGCGGCCACCTGGAGAATCCCGGCACAACGGACGCCATGTTCCAGATCATGCAGCGGTGCTGGGTCACAGAGGTGCGTCACACTGTCTCGTGTGTGTGTGTGTGTGTGTGTGTGTGTGTATGTGTGTGTGTGTGTGTGTGTGTGTCTGTGTGTGTGTGTCTGTGTGTCTGTGTGTGTGTGTCTGTGTGTCTGTGTGCAACTTTGCGCGCACAGTGGTTGAAGCGCATGTTCTGTTCATTCCTTTGATGTTGACCCCCTCCCCCCACGTCATGGTTCACATTTGCACTGACATTCACGTGCCACTTGCACACCCAATGCGACATGCACTGCAGGTGCAAGATCGCATTTCGTTCCGCGAGCTTTCGGGCCTCTTGACAGCCATCGAGTCTGACTTTATTGGTTCAACGGACTCATAAACACTCGCACAACACCACAACACGCCCCCTTCACCCACACAACACGCACATACAACACACATACAACACACAACACATACAACACCAGATTACCCTATTTTCACTTCCTCAATTCCTGGCACTCTTGTTGTCGCTTTGTGTCCAGTTGCGGCCATTTTTTTTTTCAACTTCTTTTGTTTTGTTCTTTTGCACGCCTTTCCTGTTTGACATTCGTCATTTCACATCACCATCTTCCCAATTGTCCTTCGTTTGCACGCACCGTTTCGCCAGTTGTGTCACTGTTTCTTTTCGTTTACCAACACGTTCACGGCCGCAAAGTGCACACGCACGCACACCACCGCCTCTCGTTACTCCCAATAGACGAACCAAACGCGCGCGCGCGCGCACACACACACACACACACACACACACACACACACACACACACACCAGCAAACAGCAACACTTGGATGCAGTGTATCGCATGAACGTGGAGGGAGCGGTGCAGACGGGTGCACACTCCTCGAATGCTCAGCATGCATTCGCCATGTCAGTGCTTGTCTGGGTTTGGAACGAACACGCCAGCAGCAAGGAGGTAGTTGGTTGATCCAAAGTGCACCGCGTACACGGGCGTCGCCTTGGTGTAGTACGTCGCTGCAAGCTCAGGCGACGCATCCCTGCAGAACGCACATGGGATGTGTGTGTGTGTGCGTGTGTGTGAATGGATGAAGGAATGAGACGGACAGGCATACCAATGTTGTCTTCAGGAATGAGGGACCATGGAAGAGCGAGGCAAAGCATGGCGTGAGCGGTGCAGTGACGATACCCTGGCTGCAGCGTGTCAGGTGCATCGTGGAGCGTGGTCGTAGCCTGGGCCGCGGACTGCAAGAACTCACAGTCCCACACGCGCACGGTATTGTCTGCGCCCCCGCTCGCAAGCACGCCATCTTCCTGACTGAATGCGAGCGAGTACACGACGTCGCTGTCGTTGACATAGAACAGACACACACACAGACACAGACACACACACACAGACACACACACACACAGACACACACACACACAGACACGTTTTGCGGTTATGGGGGCAGAGGGTGTGAGTGCAGTGGGTGCACGAGCCCGGTGAGAAGAGACGAATGAACGAGTCGACGCAGTCACGTGCACACACACACACACACCAGACATGCAACACACACACACCAGACATGCAACACACACACATCGCATTCACCTGTGGCCGTGCAAGACTTTGACGCGACAGCCGCTCGCAAGATCCCAAATCATAATGTCCCAATCGTCGCCTGCACGTGCAAACAAGATTTGGTGAGAGTAATGTAAAATCACTGTCGAAAACAAGTGAGCACGCATTTGCACACACGCACACACACACACAGGCACACATACCCACGCACGCACGCACACACAAACACACACATACACACATATACACATACATACACACACAGAGAGCGCATGTGCGCACCTCCCGATGCGAGGAAGCGGCCATCGTGTGTAAACTCGAGCACGTGAACGGTATCGCTGGCGTGCATGGACAGAGCAAACCGTGCGTGCAGGCACAATACACGCATGGCGTAAGATTGCGCGACAGCAGAGAGTGTAGGCGAGTGATGGACGTTGGCGATGCAGTTGGGTAGCGCTCACCAACTCAATGCATTTATGGATTCACGAACACTGCAGCACCAAAAACAGCACAAAAACAGCAGCAGCACACTCACCGGTGGCCCTGGAAGACGCGGACACACGACCCGGACTGAATGTCCCAGAGGCGGCACGACTTGTCTGTGGACGCCGTTGCGAGGTAGTTGCAGTTGGGGTGGAACTTGACACACTGCGCACGCACATAGAACGCGGTGATTGTATCGAGTGGTGACAACGGATAAAACACCAGGACGAGGAAAAGGGACGAGTGCAACCTTTGAATGCGAGCATCATTCACACATGGAGTAGACGCACACACAATGTACACACGCAGCAGTCACACGCACATGCACATACACACATGCATGTACATACATGCATACACACACATGCACAACCCCCAGCACTTCGCCTCAGGTACACATGTGGGTGCACTCACGTTCACATCTGAGAGGTGGCCTGCGAAGACCCGTTTGGTGTAGACCTGGTCGGTGGACCAGAGCCGTGCCGTGTGGTCAAAGCTCGCCGTCGCAAAGTACAGGTTGAGCGGGCTGAACTCGACGTGCCACACGGGATAGCTGTGGCCGCGGTAGCACACCACGTTCGTGTATGTCAGCAAACTCCACAGGCGGACTGTCGTTGCAAGGTTGGCGTGAACGCGTGGCGTTGCATGAACATGAGGAACGTGAGGCGCCCTTTGAATGCTGCTGATCGTCGCACCATGCACAAATGTGCACAAAGTCACATACATGCGCAAACGAACACACACACACACATGCACACACACATGCATACATACACACACATACACACACATACACAAGCTGGCGACTGACTCGTGTGGTCTGTGGAGGATGAGATGAGGAAGAGGTTGTCTGGGCTGAAGTTGACGCACGTGACCGGCCCCGAGTGCCCACGCATCACCTTCGCTGCCGACGCCGTCGACGGGTCCAGATAGTCCTCGAGCTTGCTTGTCGCTGATGGTGGTGGAGGGTGGTTGCAGGTGTGAGAAGAGCACGGTATGCAACGGCAACATACCAGGGTAAGTGAGGACGTGACGTGTGGCATGTGACAGTGCAAACAAGCATTACAAGTGAACTCCCAAACACACACACACACAGCACAAGGTCGACCACCTGTAACGTCAAAGCCGGCGAGTTTTGTGCCGGGGAGCAGCTTCATGAGCTTGTCCTTGGTGAGGGTCCACACGCGCACAGAGCTGTCAGCGCAGCCCGTGGCAATCAGCTTGCTGTCAACAGAGAATGAAATGCACGTGATCCTGCAATGGAGGGAGAGGAGGGAGATGGGGGAAAGTGGATGGAGGAGACAGGTTTCTCGTGAGGGGGAAGGCGAGAGAGAGAGAGAGAGAGAGTGTGTGTGTGTGTGTGTGTGTGTGCCTGCGTACATGTGTGGAACGTGTCAACGAAACAGACACCGCACGCAAACCAACACACACACCACAACACACACACACGCGACCGACTTGAGAGCGTTGAAGAAAGTGTAAGCACAGCAGGATGGAAGGTTCTTTGCAGAGAGGGCGGCGCGACGGCGGGCGTCACGCATCGCTTCCAGTCGCATCTGCAGCATCCGGCCACGGCTGCAGTGTGCAGGGGTGAAGGGATGAGATGAGGAGATGGTGGTGGTGGTGGTGGTGGTGGTGGTGAGGCTAGTGGTAAGGTGTGTGTGTGTGTGTACATATGTGTGTGTGTGTACGTGTGTGTGTGTGTGTGTACATATGTGTGTGTGTGTGTGTGTGTGTGTGTGTGTACGTGTGTGTGTACGTGTGTGTGCATGTGCAAGTTGTCTCTCCTCATACAAGAGCGCTCACCACCGCCACCGCCACCACCACCACCATTATCACCATCATCGCCATCCATCTGCCGCGTACATTGGTGGATGCTTGAGTCGCATTTCCTCGGGTGGGGCGTCCGGGTGGTCCTGCTGCTTCTTGCGCTGTCGCCGCCGCTGTAAGGGTGGGGAGAGCAGTTGATGTCATGAGTAGTGGTGGTGGTGGTGGGGGGGATGGGATAAGGTACAGCACTGCGTCGTTGAGCGAAATGGGTACTAGGACACACGCAAACAAACGCAAACATACGCACGCACACACACGCACACATGCACATCCGCAATATCGTACCTTTGCGCCTTCTTCTCCTTCTGCGTCTTCGTCTTCATCCTCCGCGGCTTTCGACTTCCCCCTGTCCCCCTCCTTATCCTTCCCTTTGTCCCCTGCGCCTGTTTTTGCCTTCTTTGCTGCCTGTTCACCACCTGCTTCGCTCTTCCCTTCGCCCTCCCCCGCGTCGTCCGCTGTGTCCATCCCCTCTCCCTCCATCTCATCAGGATCCTGAACCAAGCGCGAGTGGTGATGGTGGCGGTGGTGGTGGTGGTGGTGGTGGTGGAGGTGGGCACGAGAAAAGGAATAAATGAGCGCATGTGTGTGTGCATGTGTGTGACCGTTTGTGTGTGTGCGTGTGTGTGACCGTTTGTGTGACCGTTTGTGTGTGTGTGTGTGTGTGTGTGTGTCTGTGTGTGTGTGTGTGTCTGTGTGTGTGTGTCTGTGTGTGTGTGTGTGTGTCGTCTGTGTGTGTGTGTCTGTGTGTGTGTGTGTGTGTCTGTGTGTGTGTGTCTGTGTGTGTGTGTGTGTGTCATGGTGATTGGCTGAACAGTGATGTGGTGCCGAGTACCTCGACGACTTGGTATGTTCCCCAGTACACTTTGATGCTGTTGAGCTGGTCCACTGCACACACACACACACGTACACGTGCACAGCCAGGACCAACGGGTGAGAATTGACATGTTGTGAAGAAACCAAAGACGCTCAGAACTGCGGAACAACGATAACAAAACCGGACGCGCACACGAACACATGTGCAACTCAACACACCACACCACACCACACCACACCACACCACACGACATAGAGTGGACCTGAGCCGACGGCGTGCCCAATAGTGCCGACGTCAATGCGCTGTGACGGTTTTCCCGTGTGGAAGGTGATGGACAGATGTTGGTTGATGATGCGCAGGAGGAAGTTGTACTTGTGCTCCTGCACAAACCCCAGCAGCAGCTCCCAGGAGTAGTTGCAGAGGTGCACCTTGTATTTATTTGCCCTGAAGCCAGATGCAGACACGCATGTGGAACGTGTAACGCAAGCATGGCATGAGACTGCATTGTTGTACATAAACTTTGAAAACGTACATGAACACACACGTGTTCACACGCGCATGCATATGCAAATATGCACACGTGGTCACACCGCTCCTCACCCTCCCCCCCCCCCGCGTCTTGCACGACACAGCGCAGCCGCGGGCACCTGAACATGCGGACGGTGTCGTTTGTCTTCATGTGTTCGAGAGAGGTGACGGCCATGATCTGTTGCAGTTCAAGATCGTGCAAGTCCCGGTGGTGGTGGTGGTAGTCCAGCATAAACTGCTTGGCTGTGTCACATATCGAAACGGCAGCAGCAGCAACAGCAGCAGCGTCGCGTGCATGTGAGCATGTGGTGCGGGTAAATGCGCATGTATGAGTGTGTGTTGTGTGTGCATGCGTGTGTGATGTGTGTGTGTGTGTGTGATGTGAGCCAGTGTGCGTTGTGTGTGTGTGCGTGCGTTGTGTGTGTGTGTGTTGTGTGATGAGAGCCAGTGTGTATAAGCGTGCCGCATGCAGCAAGAAGGTGTATGCGGTACCACATGCTGTCACATGCTGTCACACGGCGCATACACGCACCGGCTTCGTCGTAGCCACGATACAGCAGGTCCAGGTAGCAGTGCACGAATACGGGGTAGGTCACGGTGTTCAGCTCGTTCTAACACGACCATGGGTGAGACAAAGGGAGTGGAACAAACGAAGAGAAGCAGAGAGGAGCTGTGAGTTTGAGACATGATGTGGGTGTTGGCAGCTTGCAGAGCATATGCAATGTGGCGCACATTCGCTACACGACCATACCTTGTACAAGTCCAATGAATTGGCAATCCACTTTGTCAGGCTGTTGATGACAATGGCCAGGGAGAACAACAATGAGTTGGAGCAGAGACATAAGGCAGGCCACAAGCAGACAGGGGATTCATTGAAGACCACACGCTTTCACACACACACACACACACACACACACACACACACACACACACACACACACACACACATACTCCTGTGCGACTTTGCCCGAGCTCACTTTGCGTATGCTTGACTGATTTCCGCTGGCGTGGCATTCCTACCGCATGCATGTGTGTGCGTGTGCATGTGTGTGTGCGTGTGCATGCGTGTGTGTGTGTGTGTGCATGCGTGTGTGTGTGTGTGTGAGGTGGGGTGATGATCGTGCAGAGGAAGTGCGTATTGAAACCAACACCAAGACAAACACAACACGACTGAGGACAGAGCATAGCAAAGGTGTGCGAACGCACTGGACAACGGCCGCCAATTCGTTCTTGATAAAGGTTTCCGGTGCCTCTTCTCCTTCATCGAGCCTGGCAAATGGCAAAGACGCTGCATCCTTGACCAGCCCTTCCAGCGCATGCTGCAAGCGAGCGGGCGTGGAGTGCGTGGGGTTGGGGTGTGAGTGGGAAAGCATCAACCCAGCATCATCATACACACGTGTGCATGTGTATGTGCGCATGTGTATGTGTGTGTGTGCATTGGTGTGCACCAAAGACGGAACACGCGATCCAGCAAACACACACACACACACTCATACTTTGTAGTTCTTTTGTCTGAAGTATTGCCACACAACGCGTTCCACGTCGGCGTCGGACACCCGCTCTTCCCCTCCTGGCGTCGTCATCGCGTCGTTCTTGGTTGACTGCGCTTCACGTCAGTCAGCGCGGGTGGTGCTCGTATTTGCGCTTTCCGGTGAGAGCAAATCCAGGGAAAAATTTGCTTTGCGCTTGCCGGATAGTGAATCAATGCGACTCCACTGAAGTCAGTGCCAAGCAATAAAATTCGAGTTTAACGTGCTTGTGCTGAGGACGACAAATTCTTGCCAGACATGCTTCAGTTTTCGCGCCAAGGTGCTTGTTCGCAACAACCATGAACGCTGAGCGTACGACCTCAAGCGATCCTGCGATGGTAGGGTCTACCGTACAAGCTTCCTTCGTTCCTGTACCGGAGACGCAGAGTACCTCATCAAGTGCTTCGCAGTTCACGCTTCAGAGTGTACCAGACACGCTTGTTGGTGACATGTTTGCAGGTATGCAGCACGTCGTACAGCCCCAGCAGCTCTCGGGTGGCCACTACAACTCACCGAACCTCCTTGAGTCGCAGCTTGAGATGACGGAACCTCGTTCCCCGCACACACGTGAGCGGTCTGAGACGCAGTCGCCATCGAAGCTTGACGAGAAGCCATCTTCCTACTTCACATGGGACGCAGCTGCGTGTCTGAAGCTTGTGAACACTGTCGCGAACGCAGTGTCAGAGAGTGGCTGTGACGGAGTGTCGCTGACGAAGGCGGAATGGGCAAACGTGGAGCAAATCATGATCGGCGACGCAAGTGGTGTGTGGCGACTTGAGCGTGTGTGCCTCTGAGCTCAATGTTGCACGCATCTCTGTGTGTTGATGGCTTGGGTTGTCTTGTGGTGTCTGGTCTAATGTGGACTCATGCACTTCTATGGTATGATACATGCTCGATTGCAGGGAGAAAGGCGAAGTCAAAGTTTGACGCGCTCACCAAGGAGTGGAAGGCAGCAAAGGATGTCCATGACAAGCTCTACAACCGCTCTGGCATTACACCGCCTCAAACACGCACCTACGTCGAGGCTGTGCGCTTGGCAGGTCACCTCAACGCTGATGAATTCCAGAAAAAAGCGCGGTTGGCAGACAAGCTGCGGCGGATGGCGCTGATGGAGCCTCTGACGAGGCTGCTCGATGGGAAGGTGCCAACAGGTTCGATCTATTGTCTCTCTCACTCTCTCTCTGTCTCTCGCGCTCTCACTCTCTGTCTCTTTGTGTGTGTGTGTGTGTGTGTGTGTGTGTGTGTGTGCGTGCGTGCGTGCGTGCGTGTTCGTGTAAGTATTTGAGTGCATGCGTGGTTGCGCCTGAACTGCACTTGCACTCATAATCATTGTGTGATGTTCTGCTGTTTACACCTACAGCCTCACGGGTCGAGCCAATTGTTCGTCTCGAAGTGTCTGCATCCCGCCCTCGGACTCCCACAAGACGCGGCCGGCGCGTTGGCTCATACAAGCGTGCACAAGTTGTTGACGCTCTTGCCGACGACGTTCGAGAGATGACCAAGCGTGCCAAGGACCGAGAGGAGCGAATTGAACGGTGGAAGAGAGAGGCGGATGCAAAGGCTGAAGAGAGTCACAAGGTACTGGTTGAAGAGGTGAAGAAAGGCGTTGCGGAGGGAGTGCGTTCCGCCATGAAGGAGGGACTCGAGGCCCTGGTGGAGTTGCTTAAACCCACTTTAGCTCGAGAGCGCAGCTGAAACCAATCAGCGTCACTGCGTGTTTCTGCTCGTCATCGGGCACCCTGCTTTGGTGATACCCCTCTGTTCTCCAATCTCCTTCGCGCTTCTCAATTGCTGTCGTGCATGGCGCTTGTATTGCTGCTCGCTGTTTGTTCTGGTCATTACGCGAGAGTACACAACAACGAGAACTTCGCACGTCATTGCTTAAAGCATACAATCACAAGCACACAACGCAATCACTGAGGCAAGTACTTCGAACGCTGCGCCCAGCATGCAGCGCGGAGGCTGTTGCGCCATGCCTTTGCCGCGTTCGACACTTGATGCTCCTCGCCTGCATCGACTTGATCGGGTGGCTGGAGGTCCGGCGCCTCGTCAATGTCTGCGGGTGTGACGCCTATGAAATTGTAGAGGTGCCCGCACGCAAGAATAAGCAGCTCCATTCGTTCAATAGACATCCTGTTGGTAGCAGCGAATGAGAATGTGCACGAGTGTCGTTCGTGTACATGGGTGTCGTGCGTGCGTGTGCTTGTGTACGAGTGTCGTGTGCAAGTGTTGTGAATGCGTTTGATTGCGCGACGCTTGTGCATACCTGCTTGTCTTTGGGCCGAGGATCTGAAACCGTTGCTTGAGAATCCCGATGGCGCGCTCAACCTTGGAACGCAACCTGCAGTGCCTCTTGTTAAAGAGCTCTGTTGCTGTTGCAGGGTTAGTTGCAAACTGTGATGGGTGGTACTTTCCGGGGTACGGGGTCAGCCATCTGCGCAGTTGAGGTCCCATGCAAGCATCAAATAACCCGAAGCATCCCTCCGGAAGAAGGTCGCTCAGCCTGGACCTTGACAACACGAGATTGTCGTTGCACCTTCCCTCAGCGCCCACTACAAGGGCCTGAAAGACGATGCAGATTGTATCAGTGTGGGTGCTTGCCAAACAAGATTGCGTGTCAGCCTCACCATGTTCATGCGTGTTACTGAGTGTCAATGTGTTGAAAGACGCACCTTGTGACGGGACTGTGGTCGAGGTGTGTCGGTGGCTTGTTCTGTGTACTGATGCGAAGTAAACCAGGGAACAAAAGAACTGAACAAGGCACAGACAATCACGTGAGATAAGCGACAACAGGGTGCAGGGCAACACACACGTGCTAGCAGGCAACAAGAGGGGTGCTTGTGGTTAAGCAAGGGGGAAAACAAGAGACAAGGGCAACAGACGTAACACAGCATGCAGGCATGTGTCGTGCCGTCATCTTAGTTGATGACGGTACCGTGCCAAGGGCTCGGGATCGCCGCCGAGAGGCAAGCGGTTCCGAGGCACTGGGCACGGCGTGACGCGACACAGGCAAACGCTACTATACGACACTCACGAGTTAAACATGACGTCAATCAGACTAAACATGACATCAGAACATTAGGAGAACAAAGAACATCCAGAGCAATACGGTGCCTCGAAGGGCGAGAAGGGGGGAAACAGGGGAACACAGCGGGACAAGGTGCAGTGGGTAAGGGAGTCGGAGAGGCAGAGGGGAGAGACAGAGAGAGACAGGCGAGCGACGTTACACCTTCCCCCTCTCTAAAAACGGCTTGCCCTCAAGCCGCTGCGTTGCGCGAAGCCTGATGCCACTCCATGATCAGTGTACGCACGTCGCGGGTGAGCTGGTCTTCGTTGATCCAGGTGCTGTCGTTGATGTCGTAGCCGGCCCACTTGATCAGGTACTGCCTCTTGCCGCGTCGGACTCGCTCGTCGAGGATGCGTTCCACCTCGTATTCGTCTGATTCGCCGTCCGGCAGGGGTGGTGGTTCGTCATTGGGGCGTGCGTTGAAGTCTGACGGGTTGTTGACACACGGCTTGGTCTTGGTGACGTTGACGACCGGGTGCGCCCGCACGTGGCTGGGGAACCGGAGTCGCACGGTAGTGCGCGAAGGCATGCCGATGACGGTGAAGGGGCCTTGCCAGCGGGGCTTCAGCTTGTCCTTGGGTCGTCGCTGGTTGGCCTGGTCGACGAAGAGGTCAGCGGTGACCCATGCCTGATCGCCGGGACTATATTTGATGTCGTCGCTGCGGCGCTGGTCGGCGTACCTCTTCTGCTTGTCCTGTGCCTGGGCGAGGGCGTCTCTTGCGGCGGTGATGATGCTCTTGAGGCGCACCACGAAGTCCTCGGCTGCAGGTGTGTCCGTGCGGCGTATGGCCTGGCGAGTGACGAGTGTAGCTGGGATAATCGGGTGTCGGCCCGTCTCTAGGAAGAACGGAGACTGGCCCGTGGAGTCGCTCTTGCTGTTGTTAAGGGCGAACTCTACCACGGGGAGGAGTGAGTCCCAGTTGTCCATGCGGTAGTTGACGTAGTGGCGGAGGGTCTGCTCCATGGTGCGGTTCGTCCTTTCTGTTTGGCCGTCGGTCTGCGGGTGCTGCGATGTGGAGAATTGAAGTCGGGACCCCAGCAAGCGGAAGGTCTCCTTCCAGAAGGCGCCGGTGAAACGGGGATCTCGATCAGACACAACTCTGGCAGGAAGTCCATGGTGTCGGAACACGTGGGAGATGAACAGCTTGGCCACGTCTCGGCCCGTGCACTTGCTAGTAGTCGCCGCCAGGTGACACCGTTTAGTCAGCCTGTCGACGAAGACCACGATGGCGTCCTGTCCTGTCCTGGTCCTGGGTAGTCCGGTGACGAGGTCGAGGCTGATATCGGTCCAGGGTTCTCGGGGAACGGGTAGGGGCTGCAGGGGACCAGGGGCAGCGCCCTGTCTCGGCTTGTGGCGCTGGCAGGATTTGCAGCTCCGCACATAGCGCTCCACGTCCCGCCGCATCCGGGGCCAGTAGAAGTGGCGCGCTAGCGCCTCGTGGGTGCGGTGAATTCCTTGGTGGCCCGCTGTCGGAGTGTCGTGGAACTCAGCCAGAAGCGGCACGCGTGCC